AAAGAGAGAAAAGGTCTAGTTCGAATTAGGGAAAGATTCAACCCTACTTTCGGCCAGACCTGTTATTATATTATTAATGTGATAGGAAAAGACATCAGTGCCCTTATTTAAGTAARAGGCACTYRAACTAACATWATAGAACAACTCAGCAATCTCAACAGGTACAAAGACCGAAATACCCCTTCACTAACACACCCAAGGCACATAGTTCTCCCCATTCAATTTGATAGAAGTAATTTGAACATTCAGGTAGTCAGTGGGAACCATCACACTAGATTTGTTTTCACTGTTGTCTCCCATATCTGCAAACTTTTTTTCTTCTAATTCACTTCTCACCACACTGCACACTAGTAAAAACCACCTACAGTCACAATTTCAGCAACACCTGTCACTGTTTTCTTCACTCTCCACACCACAAAGCTACCACGCAACTACCTGAATACACACCATACCACTAGCAACTCACCAACCACTCGATCCACACTGAAATACCCACATAACCCACCTATTTAATCACCAAAAAACCAACCTGCACTCGACTGTCCACTGCCCCACCTGAAACAGCCCTCTTCTCACCATCGATTAGGGGGGGCTTCCTACAAACCACTGCAAACACCCCCCAACGTACTGACCGAAGGCATGAGCACCTCCAAGAAGAAAGGGCGACCACTCCTTTTCAGCTCCTTTCCCTATCTCCAACAGATGATGAAGAAAATTTGAAAAACCCTAGGCTGAATGGCAATAAAAACAGAACTCTGGGCAGATCTGATTTTGTCACAGTTTCTCTGATACCATGATAAAGTTCTGATCTGCACTAGAATTCTGTTAGTATTAGTATTAGAGAGATATTATAACGGATACTAGAGAGAATAGGAGAAGAAGAAGAGAAGAAGAGAAAAGAGAAAAGAGAAGAGAAGGAAAATCAGGTTCGAACTAGAGAGCTTAATCTCTCTCTCTAGTCAGCCAGGTTATATTTATATGTTTCTATTCAATAAACAAAAGACTATTATGTCCCTACTTAAGTATGGGACACATCACTTAACATAAACATTACACATCAGCTTTAAACATAAATAGAAAGACTAAATTACCCCTATACAGTTGACACTAACAATATGGAACTTGTGGTGATTGCACAAATGGATTGGTTATTCTAACCACAGAGGAGTTTTTTAATATAGTGATAGTCAAAATAGTTTAGCTTCACAGCCAAGTGCCTATGCCTATCTGGATCATCAAATAATTGTCCTTTTCCTTTTTTGTTTTAAATACTTTTCCTTTTTCTTTCTTGAGATTTGAGAATCTAGATGTATGTGTATACTTTCTATTTTTTTTTTTTTTTGTTAATGTGTTTTGTTGATTAGTTAGGTGGTTGCTTTCCATTACAAGTCTGTGGTATTATTTTGTCTATATCTCATCTTTTTCAGTTGTATTTGCTTCTTTAGAGATCAAAAGAATTATTCTTAGAAATGTTAGGTGTTAACCTTTTTTCTTGAAGTGAAGATGTAATTGCATGTGATGTGTGTGTGTTTTTTCTTTGTTTTTTTTTTTTTTTTTTTTTCAATTTTATGATTTTCTATATTTTTTTTTGTAAAATTTTTTTTTTTTTTTTTTTTTTTTTTTTTGGGGGGGGGGGGAGGTAAATATTTTAAGCATATTTATTCATGAAATATGTTTAAAATATGGAACATGTATTGAATGCACTGTGTTCATGATTTTTTATTTCACTTTTATCATTCTGTTTTGCAGCTTCAACATGGGAGATTAGAGGTCTAAATGAACCCCTGGATTCAAATGCTGCAAGATGTCTTGTGACACTAATTCTGGAGATAGACCCTCATGGCTGGGGTAAATGGAAGAAAAATGACCATTCAAAGTTTGAATACACAATTCCTAATGCATTGTTGTGTCAAGTAGCAGGTTGAGTGGTCTATACCTGATCTTTTTTACAGATTGAATTGCTTTCATAGATTAATCAGTAATGACATGGCTTAAAATTATATTGTTAATCTATTACTCACCTGTGCACTATTGTGTTTGGTACATGGGAAAATATTAATTGCATGAAGACCACTATTTATGTTTTCCTGTTCCATATAGCTAGTTATCTCATATACATTATACAAAAACTGTATTCCAACTACAACATTTAAATGTTCCACTAGCAAGCATCATGTTTTTTTCTGCATTTATTTTGAAAAGCCTGGCTTTTGCTTCCTCGTTATTAAAGTTTCTAATAATTAGCATACTGTTCTTCAGATTGCTCTTATAGTGGGGCTAAAGAGAGTCAAAGACCACTAATATAGTTCTTCTATGGGAAAGAAACAGAAACAGCAAAGATACTTAAAAGTGGCTCTCAAGAAACCAAAAGAGCAGTATCTGATTGAGCGAAAATATAGAACGAGGAAAGGCAGTTACAACTCCTAAAAAGCTTTATGCAGTTTACTTTCCTTCAAGCTTCATAGAATAGCTAAAATTTTATGCTAGTGCCTTAGGACAAAATTAGAAATTAGAAATCCTCAAAAACAGTTTTTAAATAAGTTGTAGATCCCACCTACAATAATATGAAATAAAGAAAAAAAACAGAAGAGAATAAGAAGATTGAAGAAGATGGAAAAGAGAAAAGTAGAGGAAGAAATTGGAAGAAAGGGAAGGAAGAAGAGAGAGAGTTCAAAACCTCTCTTCAGTCCCCAATGATCTCTTTTATTCTTTTGTTGTAAAAAATAAGGACAATTACATGAGTGCCCTTAGTAGGGTGTCCATCACTAAAGACAACAATAAAAAAAAAGAAAAAACAATCCCATAACTAAGGCCCACTACTTACTAACACAAGTCATAAACATAACTTAAAGAAAAGTAAAGAACCTAAGGCCCATTCAGCCAATCATCTCTACACTCCCCCTCAAGCTGAGCATAGATATCAATCATGCCCAGCTTTTTTAGACAATGTTGTAACTTTTCCTTGGGACACCCTTTGTCAGAGCATATGCTAACTGTTGCTCTAAGGCAATAAAAGGAAGGCAAACTTCTTTGAAAGCTACCCTCTCTTATAAAATGTCGGTTAACTTCAATATATTTTGTGCTATCATGCTGAACTGAGTTGTGAGCTATGTTGATCATAGCCTAATTATCACAATAAAGCATTAAGGGCTTATCATGTGTAATACCCATCTCCTCTAAAAGTGACCTGAGCCATAACAACTCTGAAACTCCATGTGCTATTGCCCTATACTCTGCCTCAGTCGAAGACCTGGCTACTATTGATTGTTTCTTACTCCTCCAGGAGACAATATTCCTTGCAACCAAGGCACAATAATGTGATGTAAATCTCCTATCATCAATACTACTACCCTAATCAGAAAATGTGTAGTATAGCTTCATGTGCCTATACCTAGGGAAGAGGATGCCCTTTCTCGGAGTTCCATTCAAGTAACACAGAACTCGTTTTGCAGCAGCCATATGTGTGTCTCTAGGGGCATGAATAAACCGATTCATCACACTAACAGCATATGAGAGATCTGGTTGTGCCATGCAAAGGTATAGCAACTTCCCCAAAAGTCTTTGGAACACTCCCCTGTCTACCAGAAGCTCACCATCATCAGTTGAGAGTTTATAGTTAGCATTAATAGGTGCAGAAGCAGGTTTGACACCAAGTTTCCCCGTCTCTGTGAGAAGATCTAACGCATACTTCCAATGGGAGATGAAGATGCCACCTTTAGACATAGCAACTTCAATTCCCACGGAATATCTCAATTCCCCTAAATCATCAACATAAACAATAAGAAAGGTAACCTAAGTGCCTCTCCTCTTTACAAACAAGGTATGGTTAGATTGTGGCTGTGTATAGAAGCTCATGAGGATTGCTTGAGGCCATATAAAGATTTCTTCAACTTGCATACATTGCCCTGCATTTCCTTACCATACGTACCTGGGGGAAGTGACATATAAACCTTTTCATCTAAGTCTCCATTTAAGAACACATTCTTAACATCAAACCGATGTAATGGTCAGTCATAATTAGACCTATTCATGGGTCGGGCCTGGTCGGGTTCAGGCCGGGCTTTGCCTCTTTATCAACAGAAAATGTCCAGGCCCGAACCCGAGCCCAAGCCCGTCTCGACCTTTGGGCCTAGATCTTGAACCCGAGCCCAGCCCTTATATAAGGCCTGAAACCCGAGCCCGAGTCGAAAGCCTGATCTACACATAAAATGTCCTAATTTTTGTGTAATTTAATAAACTAAGATTATATTAATTTGGTAATAATTTAATAAATTAATACATTAACTCATATTTTCTGAATAGTAAATTATTATTTGATGATAGGTTAATAAATAAATACATACTATATATATTTATTATATATAAATAATGTATATTTCTATTATATGTAATAGTATCGGGTCAATCTTATTTAAGAAAGCCCGAGCCCGCAGGCCTAAAATTTTGTCCAAGCTCGAAAAATATCGGGTCGGGCCAGACTGGCCCGTCGGGCTACCTAGCCCATGAACAGGTCTAGTCATAACTCACTACCAAGGACAACAAAACTCTCACTGAAGTCATTTTCGCAACTACTAAGAAAGTCTCCATATAGTCAATTCCATATACCTAAGTATACCCCTTGGCTACTAGCTAAGCCTTATACCTCTCAATGGTGCCATCAATATGGTGCTTGATAGTGAACACCCACTTACATCCCACCGGTTCCTTCCCATGAGGCAAATCCACAATATCCCAAGTATTATTTTTGCGAAGTGCTTCTATTTCAGTTTTCATAGCCTCCCTCCATTCTGGCTTAGACAAGGCCTCTGTAACTGACTATAGGCTGAGAAGAAATGGAGGCTAAGAAAGAATAATAAGATGGGGATAACATGCTGTAAAATAGGTGTTGAGAATACAATGTGTTGTACATCTCCTCTTACCATTTCTTACAACAATAGGTAGGTTCAAGTCTGAGAAGGGAGGTTCTGGAGCAGGTGGTGAAGGACTTGTCCTCTCTTCAAGAGTTAAGAGTGTCCGAGGCTCAGCTATAGATGGGGGAACAACCTGCTCATGCCTGTCTATGGTACCATTTGTAAAGAATAGGAGGAATAGTAAAAACCGGAGGACTAGCAGGAGGAACAAGAGGAGCATGAAGGACTAGAGGGAACCACCTCTGCCACTAGAACAGAAGGAACCACAAATGACTCAACCTCAAAATCAACTAGAAAAGGTGAAGGAAGTGGTGAAGCAAACAACTCAATGGAATGCTCCCCCTTAGGACAATGACTAAAAATAAGTGACCCTACAAAGGTAACATCCATGCAAACAAAACGAGTCCCACTAGTGGGATCAAAACAGCAATAACCCTTTTGTGTGGAGGCATACCCTAAGAAAATGCACTTTTGGGCCTTGGGTTCAAACTTATGTTTCTAAGAGAGAGGAAGATGAACATAACATATGCAACCAAAGACACACAAGGGAATAAGGAACATTTCACTCTCAGGGAATAGAACAACAAATGCATATTTGAACCCTAAGACTTGAGAAGGCATGCAATTAATAAGGTAGGTAGCTGTCATGATTACAACACCCCAAAATCTCATTGGAACATGGGAAGCAAAAAGGATGCTCCTGGATACTTCAACATGTTGATTCTTTCTCTCTACCACCCTATTATGCTCTGGAGCACGCGAACAACAAGTCTGATGTATAATCCCAAACCTCTCAAAGTATGAAACAAGATCATTCTCAAAATATTCCATAGTATTATTTGATCAGAATATCTTGATGCGGGTATCAAATTAGGTAAGCACAAATTCACGAAACTACTTCACTCGTTTGGGTACTTCAGCACAGGATTGCATAAGGTAAAGCCATGTGTAACGAGAAAATTCATCAATAAATAGAATAAAATATTTATAGCCACCCATGTAAGGTAAATGGTATGGCCCCCACACATCAGAGTGCACAATAAGAACTTCTGCAGTGCTTTGACAACTCGCATGACTCACAATGTAAACTTGACACCTTAGTTTCCTTAAACAAAGCTGAAAATAAAAAACTCAACGAAGAAAAAGAAGTATGACCCAAATGATAATGACATAACATAATATGATTTACGAATGACTAACTCTGCACATTTGAACCAAAAGCTGCTCTCAAAGGTGATACTTGATTTTGTCCAGGCATGTCCAATAGGTATGTCCCATTTGCCTCATGGCCACTCCCAATCACCTTTTGAGATTTCATTCTGGAAAACACAGTAAGAAGGAAAAAATGTCACACTACAGTTCAAGGATTTTGTCAGATTACTGATTGAAAGCGAGTTAGTATTTAGTTTTGGAACATGAAGAACTAAGGATAAAATGAGGGTATCTAAAGCTTTGATGTTTCCTTTGTCAAAGATGGGAGCAAGGGAGATCTTATCTTGACCAAATAAAAGTTGGTAAGTAGAAAATAAATGGGACACACTAGTCATATTGTTAGAGGTACCAAAATCGATTATCTAAGGGATCCTATGATTACCTAAGATAGAAGCATGATTTGCAATAGCACAAATACCTAAATGAACATACACAGATGAGGAGCCATTTCCTGGAGATGTACTAGCTGCAGTAGTAGACTCTAAGTGGTTGATGAGTCGTTCATACTTCTCATACTCTGCTCTGGTAGCTGCAGTAGGATACCTGTTGGAAACTGCATCCAAAGCTTATACCTCCTAGATTCAAGAAAAACAACTTGTTCCCCCACTAACTTCTCATCACCAGAACTTTTCAACCTCAAAAGAGGTGGCTACATTGGCATTGCCACTCTTCCCAGTCCCACCCTTCTTACCATTGTTGTTATTCTTGAATCTAGGAGGTATAAGCTTTGGATGTAGTTTCCAGTAGGTATCCTTTGTGTGCTTAGGTTTCTTGCAATACTCACATATTATATCTTTC